GACTGTTATTGGTGTGGATAAATGAAAAACGGATAGCAGGAGATAGCATCTCTCAAGCAATCATTTGTGAAAAGGCTAGGCAGTTGCATGACGATTTGGTAAAAAAATTGCCTGCAACTAGTGGTGATGTGAGTGAATTTAAGGCCAGCAAAGGTTGGTTTGAAAGATTTAAGAATCGTAGTGGTATACATAGTGTGATTAGACATGGTGAGGCTGCCAGTTATGTTGTGCGACAGAAATCCAGTGACTCTCAACCTGGTCCAAGTGGCATTAAAAGAAGAAGGGAAGTAACCCCGGAAAAGGACTTGCTACCTCAAGTCCTAATGGAGGGGGATTCCCCTTCTAAATGCTAACACCATCCACACTCTCCCCTCTTCCCATCCCATCAGTCATCACCAGATCTTCATTAAAGGTAAGTGTCAATTATTCTTTCGTTATTTATTGTTATTTAATGTTATTGTTGTTATTGTAATTACTATTCTATTGCATTAAACTTAATATTTCATGTGGTAAAAGTTTTTTTTTTCATACTTTTGGGTGTCTTGCACGGATTAATTTGATTTCCATTATTTCTTATGGGGAAAATTGATTCGCTTTCCGATATTTTTGGTTTACGATGAGCTCTCAGGAACGGATTAGTATCGCGAACCGGGGGTCCACTGTATACTCATAAATTCTAGCGGCTTCAAATCAAGCAGGAGAAAGCTGGTAGGCCCACATGTGAGAGAATGGGTCTGTGTGGTCAGTGTGCACCATATAAAAAAAATCCTGGAGCACACAGTGCATAATGAGAAAAAAAAACTGACCATTTTTTTAATTAAAATGCAGACTTTGTGGTCTATTTTTGTATAGTATTTATTGTTGTATTCTCGTTTTCTTGGTCTCATTTGATAGAATGGAAAACATATAATAGAAATAGAAGTGATTTTGATTGGTGTTACTATAAAAAGAACCTGAAAATGGAGCTCAAATTAGGGGAAATGTTTGATTTTTGCCGATGTTCAAAAGTAAACAAATGATGTCATTGTCCAGTAAATGTCCAAGTAGCCATTCTAATATGCAGTCATGAATGGGTTGACATTATTTGTACAATTATTACAATATTGCAGTAGTCTGCCTAACAGTAAATCTTCTATTTTTTGTTTGAATAAAAATTCAAAATAGAAAGCAAGAGTAATATCAGAGGGGAATGGAGACATGACTGATGAACAAAGAAAATGTTATTTTAGAGCCAGGAATGTCTGCATTGCTCCTTCTGGACCTTATTTTGAAATTGTCATATTTTTTAATTTTCGTGAAATTGGCCAAATTGCAAATTTCTGACCACATTATTGGGTAGTTGAAATTGGTAAATGAGCAGTTTCTTGTACTCAATCGATAGAAAAAATGGAGTTCTGAAGAAATAGCTATGAGTTTGGTCTATTGGAACAATGGAATTAGCCAAAAATAGGGCTCAAAGTGGGCAAAATCACCGATTTGTAAATATCGCTGAGGTCACTAACTTCGCGAGAGCGTAATTCCATCAGTTTTCCATCAGATTTCATCTTTTTTTGGTGTCATTACAATCGGGAAAAGATTCTCGGTTATTTCATAAGAATTTTTTTTTTTTTTTTTTTTAAATTTTGCAACACCAGGAGACACCTCAGGATTGGGGGGTTGCGACAGTCAAGGGGTTAAGATAAAATTAGGATTTATTAAAAAGTTAACCACTCTTATTTTGTCTAGACTTAAGTAGTTATTATGTATTAGGATTAGTCTGCCTGTAATGCCCTGGCATGATAGTGGCTTTCTTTATACTTAAACCAAAATTGTAATTACACATTGTAACCTTTGCAAAGAAATAAAATCTTTTATTCTTTTATATTTAAAGCTACCCAAAGTCCTTCCCTCAGTGATGCTACCTATGAGTTATTTACACCCATCTACAACTCCAAATCTAAATTACTACAACTTTAATCTATTGCTACAAGCCCTGTCTTGGTTAGATATTTTTCAACTTGCTACTTATGTTAGGGGTGTGCCAAAATATTGATATTGTTGCATATCAGCTAATTTTCATAGCATCAGTATCGACCTAAAATTGAATATCAGTATTGACAAAAACTGTTGTATTGCTCATTCCTGATTTATATCTCTTTTTCTCATTAATATTTTCCATGTGTATATTTAGTCATTTCTCCTGTAATTCTATGCTTTTCCAGAGAGTACAAGTTCAGTGCCTTCTGCCTATTTTTGTAGGAAAGTTCTCTAATACAGGGAATCATCATCATCATCATCCTTTTCTGTATATAATCCAGCACATTTATGTTCATCCTATAACACTGAGATGAGAATTGAGAAGCATAATCAAAATGAGGCCTAACCAAAGATACTGTATAAAGTTGAAGTTTATAACCTTAAGGTTTTTGTTATTTATACTTTTTGATACAAAGCCAAGAATTTTATTATCTTTTTTGTAAAGACTTATGCACTGTTCTCTTGGTATTAAATTCCTGCTAACCAGAACTCCTAAATCTTATTTGCATTGACTTTATCTAAGCTCTACATTATTTAGCTTACAAGTGCAATAGTTTTCTTTCTCCAAGATTAGAACCTTACACCTATTTTCATTGAACTGCATCTGTCACTTCTCCAACCACTACCTCAACCATGCCTTGACCCCAGGAGGTAATCTCTACTATGTTATAAGAGGTTTTATTTGTTTTTTGACCCAGAGGTGTTAGCCCATAAAATCAGTGAGTCATGAGGGACTCTCTCTCTTATTGCCATCAGGGGTTCTTGAATTTTCTGCCCCAGGATGCATTCCACAACAGTTAAATAACACCAAAGTATACCCACTCACTGCAGTGTGGCAGTAGGTGTAAGGAAACATGCTCAATGTTTTATCCATGACAGGATCAATTCCAGCACCTCAGTGTGAGTTGAGGACGTTATCAACCAAGCAACTAGCTTCTTAATGAGTCTCCTATGTGGAACTCTATCAAAGGCCTTATTGAATTCCATATTCACCAAGAATACCTTAGAGAAAAAGGTTAGTAAATTTGTAAGGCAAGAATGCCCCTTTTGTAAAACTGTGCTGAGATTCATTGATCAGACTGTCTTTCAGAGTGGCTTCGAACTGCATCATCAGTTAGTGATTCCACCAACTTTCCAACAATTGAGTTCAGGCTGATGGACCTATAATTTGAAACTCAGTTCCTTTTTTTTTTTTTTTTTTTAACAAGTCGGCAATCTCCCACCGAGGCAGGGTGACCCAAAAAGAAAGAAAATCCAATCTTCTACTTTGTAAATAGGAATCACATATGCCATTTTCTACTTGTACAGGACAATACATGTTTGTAGTGATCTGTTGAGACTAGCTAATGGTTTACTAATTTCCTCCTCATGTTACTTTAGAACCCTGGAGAGCAGCTCATCAGGGTCTAGTGACCTGTATGGCTTCAGTCTATCTACTTGTCTGAGGACCGTGTTACTAGTGACTTTGATGTTACCTCATTTATTTTCATTCTAACCATTATAAATATTTAATTATGGAATTTCATGTGTATCCTCTTGTGTAAAAAGAGGAAATAGATGCTAAAAATGGGGTACATTTCTGTCATAAACAGTAGGCTGACCAGAGTCACATTTAAGTATACCTGGAGTATACCTGAAGAGGGTTTTGGGGGGTCAGTGCCCCCACAGCCTGGTCTGAGAGTAGGACTCGTAGTGGATCAGGGTCTGATCAACCGGTACCTGACAGCCCGGCTGGTCAGGTACCGACTTTAGGTGCCTGTCTAGCACCTTCTTAAAGACAGGCAGGGGTCTATTGGTAATCCCCCTATGTATACTGGGAGGCAGTTGAACAGTCTTGGGCCCCGGACACTTATTGTGTTGTTGCTTAGTGTACATACGGCACCCCTACTTTTCATTGGGGGGATGTTGCAGCTCCTGCTGAGTCCTTTTCTTTTGTAGGGAGTGATTTTCATGTGCAAGTTTGGTACTAATCCCTCTAGGATTTTCGAATTGTATATCATCATGTATCTTTCATGCCTGCATTCCAGGGAATACAAATCAAGGGACTTCAACCATTCCCAGTAATTTAGGTGCTTGATCGTAGCTTTTTCCTAATATTATTCCTACATACCTAAAACAACCCATCTGGATTAATCTTCAATTCTCTTGCACCCTTTATTTTGTACTTTCTTTTGGCTTTTCTTATTCCAATTTTTACTTATCTTAAATTGAATATTGTTCAGTAAGGTGACCCATAACTCTTTTGATTTGCCTGTAAATCTCTCTCTTTTTCACCCAAGTGATGTTTTAGCCTATTATTTATCATAATTGATGTAATTCCATGAGATATTGAAGGTAAGTGATTTGTGATCGCTTTCTCAGTGCTCCTCATTAACCTCAGAATTCTCTCTCGGAGAATTTTCGTTTGCCAGAACCTAAGATCACCTTTTCATGCCCTTCAAGAAACTGAGCCAAACATATTCCATTTCTGTCCCTTCCACCTTTATATAATTTCTGATGCAGCAGTTTAAATTTTCCCTATCATACATAGCAAGTCGACCCCTTTTCCTGTTGACTATCAGTGTGGAATTTATACCTCTTTATGTGGAATTCTGCAGGCATGTCCCATTTTTCAGAATGAACCAGGTTTTAGTTGTTGAAATAATGTTTCTTGCACATACAATTAGACTTGGTTCATCTAATTTATTTCTTGCATTCTAGCTATTTGTATAATATAGTAAATACCAAGGAAGTTCTTTCCTTACTTTTCTCCTGTCCTTGTTTGTAGACCAATTTTCCTGTTTTTTGTCAGTAACTGTTTTTATGAGCTATCATGTTTTCTAAATGTCTACCTAACATATCTTGGCAATTTTTGCTCCCTGACCCTAGTGCTGCAACATAGAAATATGGGGGAGTGCTAAACCCATAGGATTATGCAGTGTCTGTTGGGTGAAAGGAATGCTTCCCTTGAATAGATATCAGTGGCATGCTAAACAAAAAAATGCTTTACTGATTTTCTGTTTTATTTTTAGATTAAATCAAAAGTAGAAAAATTAAAAATAAACATTGCATGGTGTGTTGCTATTCATATAACAAGTAAACATGGCTCTGAACATTATGAGATATTTGTTCACTCATTGATTTCTTTACCAATTAAAGTATTAACAGCATGAACTCTCTGTTTAGCAAGATCAACAAATGTATCAAGGATGTTGGGCAAGATGAGTTGACCACCAGGCTTGTGTGTGGTGCACAGCGATCCATTTTCCAGAAGAACCACAGTCACTTCCCCACTTCCCTGAGTTTCATCTTCTGCTGTTGGGTCCATCAACTACAGAAAAGTAAAGTTAGAGCAGTATTATTATTATTATTATTATAATCAAAAGTAGCACTAAACCACAAGGGCTATACAGCAAGAGCAGCATTAATAATGACAAAAAAAGTTTATTATTTTCACAACATATTTTAAGGGCAATGTGTTTCCTTCTTTGGATCACCCTGCCTTAGTGGAAGATGGTCACTGAAATAAAAGAAAAATTTAATGCTCCACGTATCAATAAAAATTCAGACAGAAAGCAACTCAAAGTACAAATTTTATATGTTTGGAACCTACCCATATACAGCATCGATTTTCTCATATCATTACTTATTTTTTTTAGCCTCAACATTCATGTCCTTGGAAGACAGCACCACTACAATTAGAAAACTCATTCAACATCTATACTGTATTAATATTTACTCTGTCATTACTATAGACAGTATTTTACCAAGACAATAACTCACAATTAAATAGTATTCAAAAGTTACTTCTTGTCATTATATACAGCGTTTAAGAAGTGTTAAACACATCAGGTCAGCACTTTAATGGTTGACTAATTATTATACTTTGTTTAGCTATCAAATTTACAAGGGGTATGGTCCTAAAGGTCCTTACAAATTCAGAGCCCAATAATATCTGTAATAATAATTCTGTCTCTTAATAAACAGTGTTCGAGACTTAAGCTCATTTTGTTTCAGAGGCCACCTCTCTTTAAATGCAGCGTTTCTCTAATCTGGTTAATATTGTCACTCAATAAGAAAAAATGTCTGAACAAAGACTTGAGCATGGGAAATCAAGTGAACACATTTTAAATATATCCTACAATGCCGGAAATACAACTGAATTTTTATATACCCCCTACAAATTATTTGAACAAATTTATGATACTGAATAGGGACATTAAGATATTTAAATAAAAAATACTAAAGTCCCAAAAGATCGGGAACCAGATCGAGTGCTTTGGCTTTTCAAACAACAATAAAACTTGAAAGCGGGGACTACACCTGAAGGTTTAGTGACAATATAAACTTTAAAATAGCTTGAAAAAAAAATTTTTAACTTTAAAGACATCTGGGCATACGCATGTTTTTCTAACTTACAAAGGGAAGTCAGCAAACAGGGGGAATGAAAAAAGGCTACACTCCTAAACTATTTATTAGAAAAGTTTCCCCAGTAAAATACTTTTGTCAAATTTGGGCAGCATTATCTCCACTTACTGAAAGCAACAGCACACTGCTTTCTTAAAACCCCAGTAACATTTATCTAAGTTGAACCTTCTGTACCCTTATCGCCTTTATTATGTCCAAAAATTTTCTTTAAAATTATTTTAATCTTCACTATTCCCACCATTCTTAAATTATAAATTTATTTAGCCAGTAAACATGTCCAGTATTCCTTTCTTTGTGTTTTTTACATAAGCAAAAAAATTTAATACCTTTTTCTAAATTACTATTATTTTTGTATAATTTTTAAGAATTATGATCCTCAGCCAAACATTTCTTCATATTTTCCAAAAGCTACTTGCCCAAAAAAACACTCTAAGAGGCAACCATCATGTTACCATTGCTGTGACATTAATTTTAGTTTTTTAATGAAAAACGGGGAAACAATGTAAAACAAATCAAGAACCTAGTGATATGCAATTTTCTTCACTGTTAACCCTTTCAGGTCCGCCCCGTAGATCTACGCTTTAAACTTTTCAGGGCCCAAACCGTAGATCTACGTCTGAGCCACTCATTTGATAAACTGTTGGAAAAATTTGGGCCTAGTAAAAGGAATACATCATGGGTATTGTGCACCCATAAAAAAAATCCGCAGCACACTGTGTATAAGAAAAAAAAAAAACTGAGACCAGATTTTCGTTAAAAACCCTTTTCAGGTCCAAGGCCCAATCTGGAGTCCCCAAACCAGTGTCCAAAAATTTTTCAAAAAAAAAATTTGTTTTTTTTTTTATGAAATCGAGAGAACTTTTGTAAGGTAATAAAACAAAAAGTACGAAATTGGGGGAAAATTGACAAATTTATGCTCTCCGCGAATTTTGAGTGCAGCATTTTTACGAATCGGCGTTTTTTTTGCCGCTTTGACCCCCTTTGGGGGCCCAAATTTACATTATTCCAGTCAACCAAAATTTTTAGCTTTCACTAGATTACTTCTATTCTATCGTTTGAGCACAAGAAATCCCCAGTAAACTTTTTTCAACTACAAAAAAAAGTGATGGGAAATTTTTAAATTTTGGGCCCATTTTAACACAAATTTCAAATACCCAAATTTCAAAATGGGGTCCAGAATGAACAAGTAACATTCGGCAAAAAACTAACATTTCCCCTCGTTCATTAGTTATTTTTTGAGGCTTTACAAATAATTCCATTTTGATTTTTTTTTCACAATGAATTTTTTTTCACCCAAAAAATAAAATTTTACTTTTTAGCAATTGTAATAATTGATAAATATCTTCCCAAATTTTTTTGTGAATGAATTAGACCCCCCCAGCATGGTTTAGACGTTGGAGGCGTTTTTTCTCTTGAATATGGGGCAAAAATTTAAAAATTTTCTGCTATTTTTGAGCTCATTTTCAAGCCTTTTCCCCAGTGCTAAAACCAATAAAAATCATCTCTATTTCTTAATATGTCTTCCATTCATAAAATGAGCCCAAAAAAGGGAAAACAACATAAAAAACATATGAAAAAATTCCCAGCCCTCACCATTTTGAGACTCTCAAAGGGGAATTCTACCTTTTTCCCCTTTGGAACCAGGGCCAAGAAGGGAATTCTTTGAATTTTTTTGACCAGCCTTGAGGGAAATTATTGCAGGGAAAGTAATAAGTATTTCAGTACACCATGGCAAAACATCTTATCACCACAGCAAGACTACGCAGGGGAAAGAGCGACTTTTTTGCAGAAATGTATTTCTTTTGAACAATAATGTTTATCCTCACGTCTAAAAACATAATATAAAAAAGCATCTGTCCACGATGCAATTTGACCCCCATCCTTCGGAAAAAATACCAGTGAACGGGTTTTTATTTTACTGTTACTATTTTTTGCACTTCTCTGACAAAACCACCCCTGACAAAGTGACATTATACAAGTTTAAAAAATTTTTTTCATGTATCTCAAACAAAAGTTCAGGAATACTTTTTCCATTCAAGAATCTTGTAATTTACGAGTCTTTTATTTTTTTTCAAAGGTAATTGTCATTCAAGCATATATACCGAGCCAAAAGGAACCCTTTTTTTATAAAATTGTTTGTACTCTGTGATTGTGACAGGGCCGGGTTGGAATTGTTGTATACACGGGGATAAAAAATTGAAAGATACCAAGATTATTGGGGATATCAGGTGACTAGTGAGAAACAGATGGGACCTTATCTTGGTAAGGGCCATACATTATAACCGAAACTGGTACACAAGCCCATTACCCCAGGATTTCATGCGAGTGAACAAGACAGATGTTGTGGCACAGTGCGTTCAATCGAAACATATGCCCGGCTCAACGCAGGTGTTCGGTGATAGTGCAGGGTTTACTGCCAATGACATCATGGATTACGGTGGGATACAAAGAAAATTTTCACATTTTGACAACCACACCCCTAATAAAAGCAAGACAGTGGGGAAAGTTGATCAGGACAATGAACTATTCGAAAACCCTGACAGTGATTGATTATACACAAAACATGCGCTGGTTGACAAGTGTGACATGCAGATTGGTTTTGTTGACTGGTTTTGTAAGAAGTTACAAGTGGGACATGAAACTTTTTTTTCCATCTCATGGACATTTTTAATGCTAAGCAAAAAATACCCCAAATAAAGACGGTAACAGACCACCGTAAGGTGAATTTTTGTTTTTCTGTTGTCAGACAACTCATAATGAAGTACCCGTAACAACACCTGCAAAAACAACATGGTCCTAATTCATCACAATATACCCCCCAAACTTGAGGAAGAAGGTATCATTTTAAATACAGCTTCCTTCACTCAAAAGAAAAATTTTCTTTGAAAGAGCATTTTCTGTGCACAAAAAAAACGACGGGAACAAAGAGCAAAGACCTCGGGTTTTTGTGTGAGGAATGAAGGTGCCTCTGCATGGGGCCTTGTTTCAAGGGGTTCCCCAACCCAGCATTCAAAAAAACCCTGTCCAGTGATTGTAAATATGTAAATAATGATAGAAAATTATATTATACAATATTTTTTCATGGTTTTTTGTAATAAACAACATGGTAAACAATAATATGATAAACTTTAGTGCGTTAAATTTTGGGTTTATACAGTGAGTATATAATATCAATTATAACAGTATTGGTCTCCAGGCCCCAAAAGTTTATAGGAAAAAGAAAAAAATTGGAAAGAAAAGAAAAAACGACTAAAACAACAAAATAATATAATACGCGTATGGGAATTCGTCGATGTTGCCGCCCCCACTCATTTTCTACAAACTTCTTGGCACTGTAATCCGGTAAATACTGATCAATTCTAATTTTTTTGTTTTATTACCTTTACAAAAAAATTCTTTAATTCTGTAAGAAAAAATAATTTTTTTTTTTTTTTCAAAATTTCTTGGACACTGGGGCCCCGACCGATTTGGCCTTGGACCCTGAAAGGTTAAAAACGTTTAGCATTCAAATTTTTTTGTCTTAACTAATAGTGAAGCCTTTACTTAGCCTTCCCCCTCACTGCATTTTAAATTTTTTGATTCTGGATGAAAAATAAATTGTGAAATGTAAAAAATCTAAATAGGAGAAACTTTTAGAGAGGGTGGGGTAAGTTTGGGGGGCCAGGTGTAAATGATAATGGGAGCCCCTTTTATTGAACTTTGTATAAAAAGGGGTTTTAAATTATGGGAATACATATTTTAAGAAAAAGGAAAATAAGTAAACACGATAGATGTAGGGGGAAAAGACAGTATTTTTTTTGGGTTATGTAAATTGGTAATAAAAGACTGTTGAGTAGACTTCAGGGTTCATGTTTATAGAGGGGCCCCAGATATATCAATCACTTTCTAGTTGTAGCACACTGA